CTAATGAAAAAGGCCCGTTCGTATTTGTTCGTATTTGTTCGTATTTGTTCGTATTTGTTCGTATTTTGTAGTTGTGGACCTTGGGCTATCATCAGTGCCGGTGGTCTTACTATACCCAAGAGCAAGTCAAAGAAGTTGTAGCCCTCATGGACACCCACAATTTCCCGATGGACGCAATATGGTTAGACATTGATCACACAGATGGGAAAAGGTACTTCACTTGGAATCCTCAAAACTTCAGTGATCCCGAGGAAATGCAAAGGAATTTATCGTCAACAAACAGAAAACTAGTCACTATCTCAGATCCCCATATAAAAGTTGATATGAACTATAGCGTATACGCTGGTGCTAAAGAGAAATTTTTCGTGAAATGGGAAAACGGAAGTGATTTTGAAGGTGGGTGAAGTAAATATTTCTGTCAGTGAAAGCATTTTTATAGATCAGACTTAAAAGTTGTTTAACATTGGTAGGGTGTGAAGTTGTACGCATCGACAAAGCTCACTGAGAGAAAACAATTAGGTTATTTCATACTATCCATGATGGAAATTATATAATTTTCACAATACATTTTATACGAGGTGTGTTTCGCTGTTTCGTATTTCATACAACAGTGGATAATTGCAAAACTCAATTAGATAAATGATGCTACAAATGCAATAGGTATATATAAAGACGGCTCAAAAACCAAAGAAGGCTCAGGATGTAGGGTGTACTCCAAATTACTAAGCCTGACGATTAAGTGGGGAATGGGAAAAATATCAGCGTGGTTCAAACCAAGCTGGCTAGTATCTCAATCGCCACAAAAAATAACCAGGAAAGGAATTTCTGGCAAAAACATAACAATCTGCACTGATAGTAGACAAGTCCTATAAGCCTTGAACAGACAACGTGTTACCTCAGGGCTAGTACTAGAGTGCCACCAAGATTTAGATGAAGCCTCGGTAGATGGTAACATCATCCTGAAGTGGGTTGAAGGGCACGAAAGGGGTAAAGGTAATCGCATTGCCCTCTCTTTAGAGAAAATAAACGGCTGCACTAAGAGTTTTAGGACCCAGTGACACCTACGGCCTGATAACTTCGACAATTGCGGAACTAGCCAAACGTCACACCCATACTCAATCCATGAAGAGATGGTATGGAATCAAAGGATGCAATCTTGCCAGGATCACCCTAGGCGACCCTGGGAAGTTGGCGCCGAAGAAATATCTGGCGATGACCAGGAAAAATATACGCTTAACAGTAGGATTTCTGACTGGCCACTGTCAATTAAGGAAACACCTACATAATATGGGGCTAGCAGATACACCTCTATGCAGGATGTGTGAACAGGAAGATATCCTATGCGAGTGTACGGAGTTATCGTCAATAAGAAAGTGTGTGTTCGGCGAGTCTTGGCCTACACCTGTCGATATAAAGGAGATGTCTCCTAGTGATCTGTTCACCTTCCTAGAAAGCACAGGATGGACGATGATCTACGAGGACAACTCCTTAGTGCTGTGGGCTTACACTCATCCTCCCTACTCTACAGATACAGATAGATAAATGATTAATTCTGATAGAACACATAGAAACCTAATGATGTCTCCTTCAAGACAGCATCATAAGTTTGCTAATAATTCACTCTCAGCAGATCTGAGAAACGAAAATCGTGAAAGAACTCATCCATATCCTGACAGATACATTTTCATCTCTTGAAATCACTGAATCTCTCAATATCTTTTGAATACTCTTCCTACTCCAGAATCATATATGATTAGTTTTTGAATTCCAATGATATCACTGTATTGTTTGAATCATTACCGTAACGTAAAATTTCATTGAGGAATTATTTTCGTTCGTACGCATAACTTTTATTAGTTTCGTTGTTAAAATAAATTCAATTCAACTCCTGAGGAAATGAAACATTACTGCCACTATATTCTTGAATTTTAGGAAGTTGCTGGCCGGGATTGTCAAGCTATATAGATTTCCTCAATCCGGAGGCTAGAAAATTCTATTCAACTTGGTACTCCTACGATAAGTACAATGGAAGTACAGACGTTTTAGCTGGCATTTGGAACGATATGAACGAACCTTCTGTATTCGATGATTCCCTTGAGAAAACCATGCCATTCGAGTTGGTGCATCATGGCAATGTAAAACACCGAGACATCCATAATATCTACGGGTTTCTTCAGGTACTGACAACTATTTCAGGTTTTCTGTTTTTTCAATATTTAAAATGTAATATGGAAAAATCTTATGTCACGTTATTCGTGGTCGCACTCCCCCGAAACGGCTCGACCGATAAATATTGAATTGTCTGTGTATATTTGGTAGGAATGAGAATAAGCCGGATTTTTTCATTTGGCATCAAATTCCATACCCCATAGGAATGATTTATAATGCAGAACGTTTGCCGGATCAGCTAGTAAATCGGTACGACCAATCAGCCTTACATCCTTCCTGTTGAAAGGATTTGAGAAGATACTGGACGGAGGGTGGCATTATATGCATCCCCCCTCAATAACCACCAATAAGCTTATCAAACCGGCAAATCGACAGATTCTGCATTAACCAACCTTGTAGGGAAAATATCCCAATTCCTTGACAAAAAGAAGATTGCGATATGGAAGGAGCATTTGACAATGCACTACCTAAATCTATAGAATCGTATCTGGCTAGGAACAGTAAAGAATCAACCATAACTGGCTGGATCTATGCCATGCTGGTAAACAGAACTGCAACTACGACTCATCAAGATGAGGCCATTAGGGTAAGGATCACCAGGGGCTGCCCTCAAGGTGGGGTACTATCTCTTCTTCTGTGGTCGATCCTGATCTACTTGATGCCCTCGATAGAAGAAAAGTAGATCTGCAAGCTTATACAGATGACCTTGTCATCTTGGCAAGGTCAACGTCGAGCAGGGTAGCTTGTAATATCCTTCAAAGCACGTTGGACCTTGTTTAGAGTTGGTGCCTGAGGGAGCAGATGTCTGTCAAACCCAGCAAAACTGTGATAAGTGTCTTCACCAGGAGGAGAAAATTGAAAGATCTAACGCCACTTTTCCTCAATGGTGTGGTCATTCCATTTGGAACGGAGGTGAAATATCTTGGCAATGTCCTTGACAAAAAAGTCACCTGGAACACTCACTTAGAAAAAGTTTTACACAAAGCCAAACTATTCCTATGGACATGTCAAAGGATTGATAGAACTTGGGGTTTAGGTCCCAAACAAATCCATTGGATTCATGTGATGATTGTCAGACCAATTATGGTGCAATTGCCTGGTGGCTTCACAGAAAACGTCCCAGACAAAGCTCTCTGGCTTACAGAGACAGGCTTGTCTCGCCATCAGTACCACACCGTCAGCGGCCATGGAGATTTTT